TCTAATAATAACATAACATAAAGGGGTAGGCAGAGGTGCTTATTCCCTAAAAACAAAAATCTAATTAAAATTTTACTCGTACCTAAAGATGAGTATTGTTTTGCACGGTTGGCGCAGTGGTTGACCGACTGCTATGCAACGTGTTGCGGGTTCGATTCCCGCGTCGGCCAAAAAGTGAAAATGGCATTTTCTTAATATGACCATTGTTAGCTGGAGTCAGGAAGTTCGGCGGTGTTTCACCCTCGTGAATCGTGAAAAGTGAATAATAATTGTTTAAACTGTCAAACACCAAGCGGTCACCGGTGACCGCGACCTATTGTTCTTTAATTGTGTCTACAAAACCGGTACTCGACGAGTTAATAATTAATGTAATTTGTTTCAGTTATCGACAGGGTGTACGTGTGCCTTGTTAATAGCAAAAGTATTTGTGTTTGATGTGAGTATACTTCTTTATCTTAAATTCTTAAAAAGGATAGACAGAGGTGCATATGGTAACACCCACTTTTCACTATTTATGTTATGAGTCCCATGTAGTGGGTGAGCCTATTGCCATAAACCGGCCACAATTCCAGACTCCGTGCTACTACTGAGTTTTTTTTTAAAAACCCTGTAATACTTTGCCCGACCCGGGACCTTGCCCGGCAGTCGCACTAGCGACCACTCGGCTAACGAGGCAGTCGGTCAAGCAATTTAATAATAGTGTATATTAAATAATGTTATATATCAATTCTTCTTCCCCAGTGGCCTAATGCCGTGCAGCCGGTGTATGAGGTGTTCCTAATCCTAACATCGTTCACCCTGGCGTGGGGGGAGGCGTGGTTCCTGGACTTCAGGGTGCTGCCTCAGGAGTTACAGGCGAAACAGATACTGGAGTCTATAGGTATGTGTGTATTAAGATGGTATGGCAAAGCCATGCTTCGGCACGAATGTGCCGGATCGACCGGAGTGATACCACGGCCTCACAGAAAACCGACGTGAAGCAACGCTTGCGTTGTGTTTCGTCGTGTGAGTGAGGTTACCGGAGACCCAATTACCCCCCTCCCTAATTCCGAATCCCCGAATCGTCCACAATCCTCAAATTCACAATCCCCAAAAGGCCGGTAACGCACTTGTAACGCCTTGCTGTTCCAGGCGACGCCGATTGCTTACCATCAGGTGATCCGTCTGCTCGTTTACCGGCTTATGACATAAAAAATAGATATTTCTAATTTGAATATGTAGGTAGAGAATAAGGCCTGATGTTATGTTATGTAATTGGCACTCATCGTATATTTTGATTACAAGTTTTGGCTCATCAAATAGAGATAATATAGCATTAGATCATTGTCGTTAACTTACATAGTCCACATCATAAAACTAATAATAATTTTGTCCGCCAGTCCACCACAACACCTCCGAACGAACTCCGCTCCTGCAGGCCCAAGTTCCGTATGCAAGTCAGTCCAACTATGCAGAGTCCACCGTCAAGTGGTTCTCTCCAGTCGAGACTCCGGAGTCCAGTCCACGGCCCAGACGGCCTGGTGAACAGGTCATCTTGACCCAGGAACAGGTATGTGGATTATTTTGTACAGTAAAGGGGCGTCCATAAATTACGTGAGATGTTTAAGGGGGGGAGGGGGTAGACTCAAATCTCATCTAATCTTACGAGAGGGGGAGGGGGGGTCTCGACAAATATCACGTAATTCTTTTTCTGATAGAAACAAAAAAAATATATAGATACTATTTTTACCGACTTCATAGTTCATTTATTTCAGACTGTACCTACATGCTTAATATTTAATTGTATTGTACATGGATTTTTTTCTTTTTGCAATAATAATCCAACGCGTTTACGTGAAAAACCAACATTTGAAAAATCGCACGTGAATTTGGGGGATGGGGGAGGGTGTTCAATAAAATCTCACGACATCTCACCAAGGGGGGAGGGAGGGGCAGACAATTAAAAAAACACCTCACGTATAATTTATGGACGCCCCCTAACTAGCTGTGCCCGCGGCTTCGTTCGCGTAGAATAGTGATTCACAGCTCCTCCCCTGTAGGTAATATAATAATGTGTAGCCTATATGTCGCTCCGGCCACCGTAAGCGCGGGCCTGCGGACGGCGAGCATGGGTGGCTCCAAAAAAAAGCCTATATGTCGAACCGAACTTTTAGTAATATTCATGTAAGATTTGAAATAAATCCATGCAACACTTTTTGCGTTCATCCCGGACATACATACAGATAAACAGTCAAAAAATTTAAGGTAACTCGGCTATCGATTCTGAGACCGAATCAATAAAAAATATTGTAGGTAAATACTTTTCATTTTTCTGTAAATTACGGAAATCCATAAGTGCGAACTACACGCCGCCGTCTTGTAACTAGCTTTATAACGCGGCTCAACACTCACAAACTCAAACATGTAATTGATATTATTCGTAATTCCATAAAACTCCAATAAGAAGAATTGCTGTCGCTTTTTATGAAATACTGTTTTTTTTTTTATATTTGATGGGGCGACGTTTGACCACTATCTCGCCTGGTGGTAAGCGATGATGCGGTCTACGATGTAGAGTATTCACTCGGGCCTTGAAGACTCCCAGGTTATACATATAGACCCCTTCAGGAAATATAGACTCTGGCAAAGAATTTCACTCTTTAGCAGTACGCACAAGGAAGCTTGAAGCGAAGCGCTTCGTGCGTGTGGGCGGAACATCTACCATGAATCGGTGACGCTTCGCGGATTGTCTTGTGGTACGATGATGGAAAGGACTAGGGGGTATCAATTTGTGCAATTCCCCCGCACACTCACCGAAATGTATCCGGTAGAAGACCGAAAGGCTTGCAACCTTACGCCTGTGCTCGAGGCTTTGAAGCCGAGCCTTCACAAGCGCATCATCGTCGATGAGACTGTCGAACTTAAATGATTTATTATAGCCGTATTTTTAACTATTGACCCGTAATTTTCTCTTACATTGTGAACCTTTGTGACTTCTGTGACATGCCCCCGAGAAATGACACGGCTTCAAAACTACACCTTGTATAGTACTGAGAAAAGCTCACATTTTTAGTTAATTCACCATGTCTCACAATAATTTTATAAAAACTTTGGAAACATATTATAAATAACTTTCGTGAGACTTACAAAATTAAGCCAGCCTGGTTGGCCGAGTGGTCACAAGTGCGGCCGGGCAAGGGATCTTGGGTTCGATTCCCGGGCCGGGCAAAGTATGAGTGGGTTTTTAAACAAATTCTTAGTAGTAGCTCGGAGTCTGGAAATTTGTCCGGTATATGGCAATAGGCTCACCTCCCCCCCCTCACATCCCCCCCTATACACACATTGTACAGTAGCATTAACTGCCATAATGTACACCTCTGTCTATCCCTTCGTGGATAAAAGGCGTGATGTTATGTTCTGTTACATACAAAATTAGTTATTATGTTTTTCGACTTACGTAATTATTTGACGAGGAACTCGACTAGTTTCAAGCCATGCTAGAGCTCATATGGGCCCGCACCGTAGACTCGAGTAGCCAGTAGCAGCGCGACAGTCGCCGCGTCACAGGTCGCCGAATGCTGCTCATGAATATGAGCCGAAAAACATTAATCTAGGAAATAGTCTGGTATCACACCTTTTTTATTCGTAAATAATTCCAATACGATCTTCCGATCTTCAAAAATAAGCACACTCCCTTTTAGAAGGCCGGCAACAAACGTACACGTGCTCCGGGTACTCCTCTAGTATTCCAGGTGTCCATGGGCGACGCTAATTGCTTACCATCAGGGAGCTTACTATTGAATCCAATTCCGATCGATCGACATTGGTATTGTGAAATTTCGTACTCTCGAGTTGCAACACTAGCGCCCATTGCATCCGTATTGCGTGGATATTTAATTAACTAAATGGTATTGAGTTTGGCTTTATATTCCGTACTCTGAATGCTATTTTAACAGCTACCATTGTGGTTGTATAGTGTTGACATTGAATAATTATTGAGATTTTATTGGATTGAAATTGCATTGACATTGAGATTGGTTTCAAGAGTAAGCACCCAGGACCCCAGGTGATCCGTCTGCTAATTTATTAAAAAAACGTGCTCCTTCTGAGATTATCCCCAATATCGTCCAACGATCTCTAAAGGTCGTCTTACCGGCAATTTGCATCAATAATTCCATGATTAAGACTTTAATTGTACAGAGGGAACCGCCGTCGATCAATTGATTCTAATTTAGCTTACATATATCTGTTATTGCATGTCCTTGTGTCCGTTTTAACATCTGATTGTAAGAAGTAGTTGTATAACTATTTTATCGGAAGGTGTTATTTGTGGAATTTTATTTTATTTTCTATACATTTATATGTATAATAAAACTATAGATATTTAAATTCTGTACATTAAAAATATTAAACAAATAAATAGTGAGGGGTGTTACAGTCAAGTCAAAATCAAAATCATTTATTTCAATTAGACCAGGAAGGCACTTTTGAACGTCAAGAACAAAATTAGTATAGTCAGAATTTTAATTAGATTCCAGATTTGACAATAGCTACTGTCATTTTGTGAAATAATGATACCACATATAATAGTGTAGTGATGAACACAAGAATCGATAAACAATCAGTGTGTGTGTTTTATAATAAATGTTACAGAAAGTGACACGATAGCGATACCGATGACGGCGACAATTTATAAAATAACTTGTTACCATAATACATCTATCTGTTTTATTTGTCATGTTCCTTCATGATTACATTTTTTATTTATTTGACATACAATTATAAAAGAAAAGTGTCAGATCGTTTATTAATCGTCAAAACTAAATTATCGGTTCAGAAATATTTAATTTCCTGATATACTTAGTTTACGAGAGTAAAATTATAAACGAGAAGAATCGATCCAGAAATATTGCATTTCCATATCGAATAATTTCGCAACGTCACTATTTAGTACTTGTCATAATGTTGCAACACTGAAATTGTCAAATCTGGAATCGAATTAAAATTCCGAGTATAGAAGTGAAGCTAGTTGCTCAATGCTTATTACTAGAATATAATGGTGTTACTAGAATTCAATGTCCTGGGCGTCATACTGGGTAATTTTTATCTCGAAAAAGTACCTATCGAGAAGAAAGAAAGAGAAAGAGAAAAACATACTTTATTTCACAATAAAAACAAGTGATATGTACAGATGTTTCATTGTATTAGTAGGTACTGATGGATACATATTCATGTCCCAAGTCTGCCGCAAAGTCGCGGAGAACCTAACGGGTAACCGGGGCTCCGGCTCGACGTGCAGGAGAAGGAACGGGGTGGTTTTTAGTCAGTAAGAGTCACTCCCTTCCGCCTCACCCAGGCGGGAGCAGTCATTCGATGATTTTCCCCCCTTAAAAAAAAAAAGTGCCGCAAAATATGCAAACTTAATTGTGCGGCTCAATCCTTAGACACGATTACTGTACCAAACGCAATTATAAGTTTGTCGAATGTTAGGTTACCCGCAATGGATTTTATGCTGTAACTGTAGGGCCGATGGTTGAAATTAGCTAGAACCAATATTATAAATGCGAAAATTTGTCAGTTTGTGTGTAGGTATGTGTGTATTTTCTTTTTTTTTCTTTCTTATTAAAACGTTGCCCCACACTAGGATTTTCTCCCGTGTCGTTTGTGCGTTTACAAACATACAAGTTCACATACACAATGACACCCAGACCCGAAACAACAATTTGTGGATCACACGAAGTGTTGTTCCGTGTGGGAATCGAACCCGCGACACGTTGCACGGCAGCCAGTTGCCCAGCCACAGCACCAACCGTGCAGTCTCCCTCATTCATTTCAATGTTTAGTTTTATTTTATAACACTGCCACACTGCTAAAATATGGAATATACCACACACCGCGTGTCTCTGGCTATTCAGAATTTTTGAAAAACCGAAACATACTAAATATTTCTTTTTCCTACCCGGGAATTAACCCGAGACCCCTTGCTCGCCAGTTGCCCTTGCAACCACTCAGCCTACAAGACTAATAAGCAGTAATTTACAAAGTAGTATCATGGAATAATTTTCCTACATCTAATATCGAACTGTTCATTGCAACGGTTGAATACTTTATTAAGTACACTGCCGTGCAGAAGTATTTGGCAAGCTAATATCTTTGATAAAAAATTCTTTAGACTACCATATAATGTGAAAAGTGTTGCATTTTATATTATTATGTGCATTTTTCATGTTAAAATTTTTCATGTTTTTCTGTTTTTTTTTTTAATAAATCTTGGTCCTATTGGCCCCACACTGTCGCGGAGAACCTAACGGGTTACCGGGGCTCCGGCTCGACGTGCAGGAGAAGGAACGGGGTGGTTTTTAATCAGTAAGAGTCTGACACTCCCTCCCGCCTCACCCAGGCGGGAGCAGTCATTCGAAGACTTTACACCCTTAAAAAAAAACAGGCCCCACACTAGGCTTTTCTCCTGTGTCGTGGTTGCGTTTAGAAACATACAAATTCTCATTCAAATCACATCTAGACATTGATCAACATTTTGTGAATTATACAAAGAGTCGTTCCGTGCACATC